GAAGAATGAGAAGAACAAGAGGAATGAGGGCCAGGGATTTAGCGCAGTGGTTCCGCCACTTTCAAAGCAAGTGCAAGCTCCCGAGTTTGATCCCCGGTACCAAAAAGAAAGAGGAGGAGGAGAAAGAGAAAGAGGAAGAGGAGGAAGAGAAGGACAAAGAGGACCAGGAGGAAGAGAAACGGAAGGAAGAGGAGGAGAGAAAGTGGAAAAGGAAGGAGAGGAGGAGGAGGAAGACAACCTCGTAGCTGTACATGGTGCTATATGGAGTACCAGTTTCTCAGGAGGCTGAAGCAGGAAGATCACTTGAGCCCAAGAGTTTGAGACCGGCCTGAGCAATATAGAAAGATTCTGTTTTAAGAAAAGAAAAGGAAAACCAAGTAACAGAACATAGAACAGCGAGTGGAGAGAGCTATGAAGCAGGCAGGGGTGCGTTTCAGATATGCTGATCTATGCATCTATGCACTCCTGATGGTGGCCCCAGGAGACCGGGACAGCAGACTGATCGGGCAGAGAAAGCACAGCTGGGGCCTCGGGAGACAGAGAAGCTGACTTTTCACTGAAAACTCTTTGTGCCGTAAGAATTGTTTTCTCCTATTCTCTGTACAGGGTTGAATAACATCCCTCAAAATACACGCCTATGGGCTGGGGATTTAGCCTGCCTCACCAGCACAAGGACCCAAGTTCGATCCCCGGTACAAAACAAAATCCATGCCTACCCTGAACCTCAGAATGTGAGCTTATTTGGAAACGGTCTTTGTAGAAATCATTGAATTGAAATCATACTGGGTCGACTCTCAACCCAATGTCTGGTATCTTTATCAGAGGAGGAGATTTTGGACACAGGAGAGCACTATGAGTCAGAAGGCGGAGACCAGAGTGATGTGACTACAAATCGAGGAATGCACAGGGTTTCTGGCAACTCCCAAAACTGGAGGGAACCAGGAAGGCTCTTCCCCTAGAAGCTCTGGAGAAAGCAGGCCCTCAACATCATGATTTCAGACCTTTGGCCTCCAGAACTGTGAGAGAATAAACTTCTGTTATGTTCAGCTACCCTGACTGTGGCATTTTATTATGGCAGCCCTAAGAAATGGATCTGCTTTCCAATAATGAAACCATGGGCTGGGGATGCGGCTCAGCGGCAGAGCACGAGGAGGCCCTGGATTCAATTCCCAACACGAAAAAAGAAAAAAGGAAGGAAGAAAAGAAAAAGAAGACAAAAATGCTATGTAGAGAAGAAAGGAAATGGTGTTGCCATCTCAGGAGCGGGGCTGGCCTACCAAGGGAGAATGGTCCCTAAAGGGTCAATCAGGCAGGCTAGAGTTGACGGCAGGTGGCTGACCAGTGGTTTGAAAGCTCAGACTCTGGGAGGAGGGAAAGAAGGGGAAGAGGAGGTAAAAAGTATTAAGATGTGCTATGTACATGTGCCAACTCTCTACGATGAATATAATTACTACCTACTATGAACATAACAATGAAGAGGAAAATTACAAAAATAAAAGAATGAGCCGGATGCGGTGGCGCACGCCTGTAATCCCAGCACTCGGGAGGCTGAGGCAGGAGGATCGCTGTGAGTTTGAGACCAGCCTGGGCTACAGAGTGAGTTCCAGGTCAGTCTCAACTACATAGACCTTGTCTCAAAAAACCAAAAAATAAATAGTAGAACAATGAGATACCATCACATCAAAAAAACAAAAACAAAAACGAAGGAAGGACGGGGCATGTTCGTACACACCTGTAATCCTAGCACTTGGGAAGTTGAGGCAGGAAGATCTTCATGAGTTGGAGGCCAGCCTGGGCTACACAGTGAGTTCAAGGCCAGCCTGGAATACATAGTAAGTCCCTGTCTCAAAAAATTCAGAATCTGTTTTCCCATCTCCAAACTGCCCCTCACCTATACTTTGATTTTCCTATCTAGAAAAATGGCCCGATACTGTTTTTTCTTGGATGGTTGGTATTTTAAGACGGGGCCTCCCTAAGTAGTCCAGGCTGCCTTAACTCACTATGTAGCCCAAGTTGGCCTTGAATTTACAACTTTCCTGCCTCAGCCTCCAGAGTGTTGGGATTATAAGCATTTAGCTCCTGGCAATGATTTAAGGGTCTTGTTCTCAAGGGAAACAGCAAAGTAACATGTGGATGGAAATCTACCAAAATTAGGTGCTGACCTGGGGAAGAGGGATTCACGCAATACAAGGGCAACAACAGAAAAGTTACAAGGGTGGCATCACAGACCAAGAAAGAATTTGCTGACAGTTACAGTGGCCCCCAAGGAAGACGGATGAATGGTTCTTACAAGTTTATGAAAGTGGAGATTATTGGTCCCTACTCCTAGGGTCTGTTCACCCGCTGACTCTACACAGGGAGGTTTACACTTCAAGATACACCAAATGTAGGACGTGCTTTAAAAGGCTGAGGTCCTGGGGTGGAGATGTAACTCAGTGACAGAGCACTCACCTATGGAGGAGGCCCCGGGTGAGAGGTGCAGCGGAGGAGGAGGAGGAGGCGGGCGAAGGGAGGAAGGAGGGAGAAGAAGGGGCGAGGGGGAGAAGACCCGAGATCCCATCCTTCTAAGCACATTTCACAACTAGATATATTTAAGAGAACTCAAGAAGTACAGCTGGGGCCAGGCGAGGTGGCGCACGCCTACAATCCAAGCACGTAGGAGGCTGAGGCAGGAGGATTGCCGTGAGTTCGAGGCCAGCTTGAACAACATAGCAAGGCCCTGTGGGGGAGGGATATATGAGCAAAGGGTACAGCTGAACTCAACGAGTCAGGCCAAAAATGGAAAAACTCTAGTGACAGAAACTAAAAGCCATTTGCCTTTCTCTTAATCCCTTACCAATATGTCAGTGTCAGTTACTAAAACACAATGAACAATTAAAGAAATCTATCTCTGTAGGACACAGATTTTTACATTTCTATTTACTGTAGTACTATAGATTGAACTCAGGGTCTTTGCACTGAGCTACATCCCCTTTTTAACGGAAAAACTCTAGTGACAGAAACTAAAAGCCATTTGCCTTTCTCTTAATCCCTTACCAATATGTCAGTGTCAGTTACTAAAACACAATGAACAATTAAAGAAATCTATCTCTGTAGGACACAGATTTTTACATTTCTATTTACTGTAGTACTATAGATTGAACTCAGGGTCTTTGCACTGAGCTACATCCCCTTTTTAACCTTTTTATTTTGAGAGAGGTCTCTCTACAGGCTGGACTGAACTTGCAATCCTCCTGCCTCACTGTCCCAGAGTGCAGGGATTACAGGTGCGTCCCACAACACCTGACTAGATCAAGGAATTTTTACATACACAATTATCAAAGCTGTGAAAGGATGAGAGAGGTGGGCTTGTGATGAGCTCCCCACTGTTGGGAGTATTTAAGGGACGTTTAGAGGACTGTCTGTCAAGGTTATGCTCCACACACAGTCTAAGCTAGCACTATCTGAAAGGTCTTTCTGCTCCCTGGAAATATTCTAGAGTTGTCCAACATGGCCACTGCCTTGCAATGCACAGATCTAAATGCCAAGGCACTTCTGAATGGCTGAGATGCCTAGAGTCAACTGAACTTGTGTGCAGGTTCTAGGAGTTAACATCAACTTTGGTGGGTATGCTGGGATGGGATGGGCCATGCTGCGGGGACCCTTGAGAAGGAACGAGTTCTCCAAATACGTGCTGCATACTGAGGATTCAATAGGAGAGACAAACACAAGCCACGGAGAGCCGGAGGGAGAGGATCCAGGGAATCCTACACCAAAAGCCTGAATAAAAGATCAGTGACAAGTTAAAGCAGGCAAGGAAGAAAGGGTGATCAGGTGGGGGACAGGGCGTGAACAGCAGCCTGGAACTAGACAGTGAAAGCTGATCTGGGAAACTGACCGAAGTCCCGGGTGAGACAGAACAGAAGGCACGGAGAATATGGCAAGATGAGGCTGGAGGCCGGGCAGGGAAGGGCTCACAGGCCTCACGGGCCACCCGAGGGTAACAGGGAGTTATAACAGGTATTTGAGCACAGATGTGAGGCAACAAAGTGTGCACACAGACACCTGCACTGCAGAGCGGTTGTGGAGTAGACAGAGGGCAGCCACCTGTGAGGGGTGCTAGAGGCTGTGGCTGCACCGTGGGGTACCTCACCTGCCTGGTCCTGCTCCCCGTACCACGTGTTCCAGTTGCCCACGAGCGAGCAGGGATAATCCTCATCCAGGTGGAGCTCGGGCAGCACAGCCTCCCTGTGGGAGAGGCACAGAGAGGGGCAGGGCTCACTGGCCACCGGGGCCTCCGAGAGAAAGAGTTCCCACTCGGGCCTCCGGGGCGAGGCCTCGGTCTCCCCATTTTTAAGATGCACAGGCTGGACAAGATGTCCTTCGGACTTCGGCTCAGAAATCTACATGCCCTGGATGCTGGCAGGGAGAACGAGGCAGGGGACCTTCTGGAGATTTTCTAGGATGGAACCCCCACCCCGCAGCAGAGACCGGGACAGGCGGATACAGGATGCTCACGTCAGACTGTTGTAGGCATCTAGACACTCAGGCTTCACGTTGTGAACTGCAGGAGGACAGAGAGCAGGAGGTGAAGGAGGTTGTGTGTGTGTGTAGCTGGAGGTACTACAGCACATGAGGGCCACCACGCCCAACAGCACAAGACCCCAACTCTCATCTCCATGCTGCAGGCTCAAAGGCCCCACAGGCCAAAGCGGATGGGGCGCCAGCCCAGCAGTTACTCACACTGGATCTGATAGAGGCTGCTGGTCCCCTTCTTGCACAGCAGGGTAGAGTGGGCATCCTTCCGGGGGTCTACTTTGTGGACAAACAGGGAGCGAAACCAGCTGCCTTCATTGTCCTTGGAATAGAAACTGCAGGACAGGAGAGTTCAGGGGGACATGTAGGCACAAGGGGAGAGCTATTCTATAGCTCAGACGTCCTGTTCCCCGAGGCTGGGGACCTACATTCCTGGAAACAAGGCCATGGAATCCCAGGCAGCTCCAGGGTGTGGAATGCCATCAGCTGGGCAGACCTGGCCCTTCTACAGAGATCTCAGCTGCCTAATCTGTACCTGCGGGCCTCAGGAGTCCGGGAGAGGCAGTCCCATCCCCCACCTCTCTCTGCAGACTCCCTCCTCCACTCATCCCGCCTCCACGGGAATCTCCAGGTACAGCCTCTTACCAAGAGAAGCGATCCCAAGCCCACCCTGCCTGATGTACAAAGCCTCTGACAACTAAACCCATCATGGTCTCCTCTCCAGTCCCCTCAACCTATGTAACCCACTCTCCAGGTGTGCTCTTCCCTGAACACCCCGGGATCTTCCACTCTGTGCTAAGTTCTACCCTCTCTGATAAGAAGGCGGCACTCACTGCCTTTCCCAGTCTTCACAGTGCGCTTGTGCAGTCTCTCTCTCTCCCAGATACCACAGAGAGAGCCAAAGACAAATGAGCCTTGTCTTTGAAGAGGTCACCGTCCACTAGAAGAAATGGACTTCAGGGCAGGGATGGTAGCTCAGTGGCATTGCGCCTGCCTGGCAAGCACAAGGTCCTGAGTTTGATCCCCGGTACCTAAATAAATTAATTAATCAATTAATTGAAAAGTGGGCCTCAGAATGCAGTTACAGCCAGGGTCTCTGGAAGAACCCAGGTGAACGAGCCTCAGTTGCCTCTGACAGTGGGGCAGAGAGGAGGTGAGGTCAGACTGCATCTGCGGAGCTGATGTGGCAGAGAAGAAGGGCACATCCAGGGTAAAGGCGCTGCAAGGAAGATGCATTCCTCCATTCACACAGTCGACACGTGCCCCGCCACTCGGGCCCGGTGCTGCAAGAATGAGTGAGCCAGGGACCACGACCCTGTGCTCTGCCTACGCGGCAGTCGTTCAGAGCAGGGGGACCTGATGCCAGGTCCTGCCAACCAGAACTGTACCCTGCTTCCTGTACACATACATGCAAAGCCCCAGCAGGGCCACAGCTTATTTTGAAGCTGGCAATCTTACTCCGCAGCCTCGGTACACAGTGAAGCCTGGCCTATTTCAGGCCTCCTGCCGGAGAGATGATTCCTAGCAATGTAGGCACACCCCCTCCATTCACAAGCCTGTTCTATGGCTAGAACACATGGCTTGCAAATAAAAACATTATTTTTTTTTTTCTAAAATGTGGAGCAACCACTGGGACCAACGAAGTTTTTAAAATCACTTTATATGTTACGTACATGTACAAACTCCCCATGATAAATGTAATCTTATGTACCGCAAGCACATACTAATAAAAGTAAAATTTAAAACAATCATCGTACGGGGTTTAGAGGTATAGCTCAGTGGTGGGACACTAAGGGCTTAATTTTTTATCTGAATGTAGAGGGCTGCCTCCCCTGGAGGGACAGTGGCAGAGAGGAGAGCAGATTCACCATCTGTTGACCAAGACCTTTGTTCCGGAGCAAGGCTCCCAGTAATTTATTAACATCAGTAGTGATGAAGATAAATAGCCAGTGGCCTGTCCTGCAGAAAGATCTAGAGGCTGGAGTGCTGAGAGTAAAGGGAAGACATCCAAGACCTTTGATGGGCTCCTGGCTCCTTCTACTACTTTCTAACCCTTCCTACCTACAGGCTTCCGTTTCCCCATCTGTCAAATGAGCAGGGCAGAACAGCCCATCTCAAAGGATCTTTACTACAGGTGAAAATCCAACGAGGGACTTGTCCAAAGATCCCAGGGTAGATCTGAATTTCAGGCACATTTTCAAGAATTCCGTTTTCATTTTCTTAGTGAATTTACAATATTCTCCTACCCTTGATTTCCCAAACCCCTCTCACCTGCTTCCTTATTTTGATGTCCAGTGACTTCTAAAACACCATACCAGGACTTGAATTGTAGCTCAGTGGTAGACTACTTGTCTAGCATGCACAGAGCCCTGGGTTCAATCAGCATTCAAAACAAAACAGACCACTATCCTAGAAACAATCCTTTTATTTTCTTCTTAAGTGTTTTGTTTATTATCTGTCTCCCTATCAGAATCAGCCCCATGAGCACAGGGACCTGCTCTGTTCTTCTGTGTCCCCAGTGTCTGGAATAGGGGCAGGCACATGCTCAATCTGTGTTTGGGACGTGAACGTGGGGGCAAGACACAGAGGAAGATGAGGAAAGTTGGAAGGTAAGAAACAGAAGGTGGAAGCCAGGTGTGGTGATGCACACCTGTAATCCCAGCACTTGGGAAGCTGAGGCAGGAAGATCTTCATGAGTTCAAAGCCAGCCTGGACTACATAGTGAGTTCAAGGCCAGCCCGAACTACATAGTGAAACCCTGTCTCAAAAAAAAAGTTAAAATTAAAAATTAAAAATAGGGCCGGGGATTTAGCTCAGTGTCTCTGCCGCCTGCCTCGCAAGCACAAGTACCTGAGTTCGATCCCTGGCACCACCCCCCACAAAAAAAACCCAAAATAAAAAATAAATAAACAGAAGATGAGCCTTGGCCTAGAAGGTGGACTCGGGGGCCTTTCCCGTTCCCAACAGCAATATTAGTATTTAAGAGCCCAGACTCTGGACAAATCCCAGTTCTAATCCCAGCTCTGGGCCTCATTTCCTCATCTATAAAACTGGGGCCATACGATGGGCCTTTTAGAAAAAAGGCCTAACAGCTGGGCATGGTGGCACACGCCTGCAATCCCAGCACTAGGGAGGCTGAGGCAGGAGGATCGCTGTGAGTCTGAGATCAGCCTGGGCTACATAGTGAGTTCTAGGTCAGTCTCAACTACAGTGAGACCCTGTCTCTTTTTCTTTTCTTTTTTTTTTTTTGGTACCGGGGATTGAACTCGGGTCGTTGCACTTGCAAGGCAGGCCACTGATCCACTGAGCTAAATCCCCGGCCCGAGACCCTGTCTCAAAAACAACAACAACAACAAAAAAGGCCTAACATGGCAAGGCAGCTACCATCACTATTTCTACCCATCTTCTTAACAGATCTCCTGGCTCCCACTTTCTCCTTCTTAATCTATCAAGCACCTTTTTTTTTTTCTTTGCAGTGCTACGCAGCAATCCCAGGGCCTCACACATGGCAGGCAAGCATTTCACTGAGTTACATCTGCAGCCCTTTTTATTTTATTTTGAGGCAGGATCTCACTAAGTTGGCCAGGTTGGCCTTGACCTTGCAGTCCACCACCAATACTATCTTAAACACATATTTTATGATGTCATCGCTCTGCTTGAAGCCTACAAAACAACGGCCAAATATCTCCACTTGGGATTCTTTACTCAGCTTTCCAGAGTCAACTCCCCTTTTAATGTTGGTGACTTCAGAGACTAGGAGTTGCCACTCCCGTAGTTCAGCTTCAGAATAGTCTGGGAACTTGTTAGAAACTTTCAGGCCCCACTTCAGACCTTTCTCTTTTTTTTTGGTTCCAGGGATCGAACTTAGGACCTCGTGCTGGAGAGGCAGGGCAGAGAAACTACTGAGCTAAATCCCCGCCCCTCCCACCTCAGACCTAGTCAACAGAAACGCTGAAAAGTGGGCCTGGCCATGTGAGTTTTCACAAGAGCACCAGGGATTTTAATGCTTGCTCAAGTTTGAGGATCACTGCTCTAGTACAGTCCCAGTTGCATCTTTTCATGTAATTTCAGCAAATCATCCCAGAAATGCCAAAAATTATGGTACCTAAACTGACTCTCAGGACTGGAAAACCATGATCCGGCTTTGTCTAAGAATGCTATGCGCAGCTGGGGATTTAGCTCAGTGGTTCCACCACCTGCCTTACAAGCGCAAGGTTCTGAGTTTGATCCCCAGTACTGGGAAAAAAAAAAAAATGTGTGCCCAGTGAGGTGTGGTGGTACACAACTGCAATCCCAGCTACCAGAGAGGCTGGGGCAGAAGGATCACAAATTGGAGGCCAGCCTGGGCTACTTAGCAAGACTCTATTTCAAAATAAAAGGGGCTGATCACTCCCTGGGTTAAGTCCCAGTATCACAAAGAGAGACTCCCCCAGATAGACTAGTCCAGCCCCTTCCCACAAAAATCTTGTCTTTCCCCTTCAACTCTTTTATTCATTTCATGTGGATATGTTTTTTCCCCAGCCACACAAGGAGCCACTAGCTAGTGACCTTCCATCCCCCCCCCAGGGTGCCTAATATAGTATTTTTGACATGATAATTGTGCAATAAGTACTTGACCCACATGAGAACTTTTCCATCTCTGAGAAAAGTTGCTATAGATGATATACTTTCACAGCCAATAGCAATCAACAATCTGATGCAGCCAGGCATTGTGGTACAGGCCTATAATCCCAGCATTTGCTGAGGCAGGAGGACCCCCATGAGTTCAAGGCCAGCCTGGGCTACATAGCAAGACCCTGACTCAAAAAAACAAAACAAAGCCTCCCCACCTGAAACTCCAGAACATTCTAGATTTACATGCTGGGAACCTCAGCTCTATGCACATTCTGAAATACCTTGTCATTTGAATCAGCTAATTTTAGGAAAGGGCTGCATTTCTGCTTATTGCTCCAGAGGGATGTCTTCAAGCTAGAAAAAGACTACCGATGCAGAAGTAACAAAAACCACTGTTGGGCTTGGGATTTAGCTCAGTGGTTCCATTGCCTGCCTCACAAACGCAAGGTCCTGAGTTTGATCCCTGGTACCAAAAATTTTTTTAAAAAGAAAAACACTGTTTATGGAGCATTTATTATTTGCTAAGAGCTAACTCACGCAGTATTTTTTTTTTTTTTATTTTTTGGTACCAAAGATCGAACTTAGGACCTTGCGCTTGTGAAAGTATGTTTTTTTTTGAGAGGGGGCGGTCTCATTATGTTTCCCTGGGGTGGCCTTGAACTTGTGATCCTTTTTCCTCAGTCTCCTGAATAGAAAGCACTTGGGGGAATCCTGAGGGTCAGAAAGATATGTTCTCAGGTACTCAATGTGGGTCCAGGGCTTAAAATTTGCAAAGCAGTCTTTCTTTTTTGGCAGGGGTGTTGAGTCGGGGTCTTGCTACGTACCCCAGGCTGGCCTCACTCACAACAATCCTCCTTTCTCAGCCTCTGAAGTGCTGAGATTTCAGGCATGCACCACTACCCCTGGCTGCAAAGCAGTCTCTGAGGGGCCTGATAAGTATTCCATCTAAGTGCCTTTACAGCAATTCTGTGAAAGCAGAGATCACCATGTCCACTTTACAGAAAAAGAAACTGAGGCTCAAAGGTTCAGTTCCTCACTGGGGTTACCAAATGAGTAAATGAGGAACAGCAGGCTGCGCCTTAAGTCCTCCCCTGCCCTTCACCTCCTTTTGTGGTCTCTGCATATTTGCCACACATTGATTCTATCATTTTATTCAATCCCTTCCCTGGCCTCAATTTCTTCATCTGGAAAGCACTATCTCATAAAAGCTGAGCTCCTCAAGTCCCTTTCAACCCTGATATTATTTGTGTCTCATGCAGAAATTGCTTCAGGCAGAGGTTCAGGCAAAGTGTGGCACTCACTGGGTGCTAGATACTTTATAAGCATGGCCTTTTCACTCTTCAACAATCTGAGATACATCCTATCTTGTCACCCTTGTTTTACAAAGGAAGAAACTGAAGCTTGAAGAGGGCAAATGACACGACCAAGGTCTCCCTCCAAAGAAGGCCGAGTTAGATTTGCTGGTGCCAGGCAAACGTGGGACTCGTTTCATGATGTCAGCCTTCTGTCTCCAAGCTGTCCAAACCCCCACTGAATGATGCTCTAACATCTCAAGGTAATGCCTCACAAAACTGTAACCTCACTCTGCTGGGCAGAACGGACCCCTGCCTCCTTTCCACAGGTGGGTGGACAGGAGTTCTCCCTTCTTCGGCACAACTTCTTTGAGCACACATCGTCCTGAGCACTGCGGGGGTGGGGAGCTGGGGGAACAGAGAAATGAGATGCGGTCTGGGAAGACAAGCAGGTAAGGACTAGGTTCCAAGTGCACGGGGTGATAAGGGCAGAGATAGGGAAGTACAGTGCACGGGACAGAGGAGGAGCCACCCAGGGCCAGTCAGGGGTGGCCAAGCCTGCCCCAGCCTAGAGCGGGGGCAGACAACAGCCAGCCCTGTGCACATGGCCCAGCCAACCTCCCTCTCCCAGGAGGCCTCCAGCTGTGGTGCAAAGAGCACGGTGCGTCAGAAGACCTGGGTCCCAGATCCACCGCTACCACCACACAGCCTGGAGAGCAACCTCGGACAACCCCATCCCCTCTTGGGCCTCCGCTGGCCCACCTGTACAGTCAAGGGTGCAGAAGCAAGCAGTCTACACAGCCATGCCCCTGGGGTCCCCACCGAACACCCCCGCAACTTCCTGAGGGAGGAGCTGCCCGGAGCAGGAGTCCCCAGGGAGTCCGAACGCACAATCACAGGCTGAGGCCTGAGGAATGAGCCACTATCCTCTGCCCTCTCCCACGCTTCGGGACTCAGGACCTGTGCCTCCCACGAACCCCACCTTTCATTCTCTGCCTAGAACCAGGTCCCCACCAAGACAAAGACCCTGTCCGTACTTCTCCCAACTCCCCTGTTCCGTCCAAGACCCTCCCCGGGCCTAGATCCCCGCCCCGGGATCCAAGCCGAGGACTCTCCACCCTTACCCTCAACCTCCTTCCCTTCGCCCGAGACCGCCCCCACCCCTGGCTCTCACCGGGCTGCAGCCGAAGCTGGGTCCCTGCGCTGGGTCCCCGGCTGCCCAGCAGCCGCCGCATCGCTGCAGAGATGCTGCAGAGCCTCCGAGCCC